GAACATGAAGCTCAAATATATAAATCATTAAGGTGTTCGTGGAGTTCAAGCTAAAAGAGCATCTCCCCAGAGGGACTAACCTTAAATTAGGTCAGAAGAACAAGTGGTGGAATTCAGGTACAAAAATCTCTAATCCTTTTGTTTTTACTGTGGTCTATTGGGCATGCTGATAGAAGTTGTGCTTTAAAAAAGAGAACCTTTCAAAAAACATGCCTAACTTGGGTCAATATGGTGAGTGGTTGAGAGCTAGTAGTGGAGTGACTAGGGCATCTAAGAATTTAGGTCTAATTTTAATAATATTTTATATTATTCTATTATTGTGGACCATATAATTAGTTGTACCTAATTGAATTAATGGTCAAACTTTATTAAATGTGAATATTTATTTAATGGATTATTTAATATTATAATATTAAAAAGTCCAATTTGTGATGTTTGACTTGAACAATAAGTTAGTTTAGAACATGGGGAATAGTAGTAGGATTGGGATTCTAGGTCTCCTCTCCTTTATATACTACATGCCCCTCTCTCCCATTTCATATGAATATAAAGTTCTCAACATCAAGAGCTTTGTTAAAAGACGAGAGACAAAAGAGAGAGAGAGAGAAAAGAAACACACGATCACGGACTACAGGAAGGAAGAGGAAGAATCACACGATCGGCCAGACATACAAGAAAACAAGGAAGGACTATGATGGATTCTTGTAAGTTTCTATGTGCAATTTAATTTATACAAAAGATCCATGTTCTATGAATTGATAGAATTACATGCTTAGGGTTTATTCAATTCCGCCTAATAGTTATGAATATACCTGTTAAATCTTACACTAAGGCCATTGGGGGTTTTGATGGGGAGGGTATCATCAAGGATCCTAGTTTAGATTCTTCCAGTTCAGATGGTAGACAGTAAAACCTTAAACCGGTCAGTAGGGAAGAGGGTGGTCCTGTTGATTTAGAAAGTGAGTCAAGAGCTCTAGTTTTAAGGGACACATCTACCCCTAAATATTCTTCTAATGAGGTAATGCCTCAAAATCAGGAAAAAAAAAAGTTTTTTGGTCCTTTATCTACAGGCCGTTTTTAATTTGGTACCGTAAATTGACTGTTTTTGGAAATAGTCCCATAACTGAAAAAAAATTAGCTTTTTGGTCCTCTGACCGCCTATATCAAGTCATTGTGACCGGCTGAGCTACGTGGAAATTAGCCGAATTTTTTTTTTTTTTTTTTTTTTTTTTTTGCTGAGTTGTAGTGCCACGTGGCGCTTATGTGGAATAATGGCAAAAAATGTGCTGTTGAGGGGATTCGAACCCAGGTCCAATGGGGCACAAAAAGAGCTCATGAACCACTTTAGCTAGCACCAATTATGTTAATTATTTAACTTCAATTATATATCTACCAACATCTTTTTATCTAATATATATATTATTCAATTTGTACTACTTTTTATTATAAAAATTATGCATATATTATTAAATTCATTTAATTTTATTAATATATTAAATATATATTTACTAATGAGTAAATATTATAAATAAATTATTAAATATTATTGAATTCGCTTTATATAATATATATATATTATTCAGTTTGTACTACTTTTTAATTTAAATAAACTTTTTTATATATTAAATATATTTTTACTAATTAAAAAAATATTGGATATTAAAATAAATAATATATTATAATTTTATTCATCATTTTCAAATATATATATATATATATATATATATATATATATATTAAATAGATAAATATGTTAAGTAATTATATATATATATATATATATTAAATAAATATATTGAAGTATGTTGATATTAAATAACTATATATTAGTTAAATATTTTAATAAATAAATAGTATTTAATTATTTAATAAATAATATTTAACGTACTTAATTAAATTTAATTTGATTATTAAATAAATATTTACCAAAGAAATAAATATAATAAATAATATAATAAATAATAACATTTACCAAATAAATAAATATATTAAAATAATATAATAAATAATATTACTTACCAAAAGAATAAATACATTAAATAATATAATAAATAATATTATGTTTATATAATATAATAAAAAATAATATATTTATATTATTTAATAAATTCATTTATTTGGTAAATATTATACATTATATTATTTGTATAAATTTAATATAATGTATAATATTTACCAAATAAATAAATAAATTAAATAGTATAATACAAAAATAATTATTTACTAAATAAATACGTAAATTAAATAATATAATATTTACTAAACAAATATAATAAATAATATGATTAAATTTTATATCTATATTAAAAAATATTTACTAAATAATAAAATTAATATATTATATAATATAATTAATTATTTTTGTGTATTAAATAAATATTGATCAAATAAATAAATATATTAAATAATACAATAAATAAATATACTTAATAATAATAAGAAGTAATAATATTTACCAAATAAATTTTAAATAATATTATTTTAGTATATTTAGTATTTATTTATTATTTAATATATTTAATAAGTAAATATTATTGTATTATTTAATAATATTTAATAATTTATTTATAAGATTTACTCATTAGTAAATATTTGTTTAATATATTAATAAAATTAAATGAATTTAATAATATATGCATAATTTTTATAATAAAAAGTAGTACAAATTGAATAATATATATATTAGATAAAAAGATGTTGGTAGATATATAATTGAAGTTAAATAATTAACATAATTGGTGCTAGATCAAGTGGTTCTTGAGCTCCTTTTGTGCCCATTGGACCTGGGTTCGAATCCCCTCAACATCTCATTTTTTGCACTTATTCCACATAAGCGCCACGTGGCATTACAACTCAGCAAAAAAAAAAAAAAAAAAAATCGGCGAATTTCCACGTAGCTCAGCCGGTCACAATGACTTGATATAGGCGGTCAGAGGACCAAAAAGCTAATTTTTTTTTTCAGTTAGGGGACTATTTCCAAAAACAGTCTATTTACGGTACCAAATTAAAAACGGCCTGTAGATAAAGGACCAAAAAACTTTTTTTCCTCAAAATCAACCTCTAATTTGTCCTAGTGTGAGTGTCCCTGTGGTATCACCCCAACTAATTGAAGCAGATATCCAAACTGCTTCACCAGGCAAGAGGGTGGTCCAAAAAAGAAGAAAACCTATTCTCAGAATATCTAACTTTGAACATGTTACAATGGAGTTAGATTCTAAAGGGGTTGGAAAGACTTCGGCTTCTTCTAGCAAATTTCATGGTAAAAAGATTGTTGTCAGAATGTTGTTTAGAAGTTTCAGATACTGAGACTAATGAAGTTTCCAAGAAAAACTTAAAATTTCTGAGCAAGTAGTCAATCTGAGGTGGTGGAGACCAGCCCAAATTG